GCATATTTAGCGATAATTAACTTAAGTAACTACCTATAATAATTTTAAATTTGTAAGCGATTAATTAATAAATTTCCTTTTTTTTTTTCATATTTTGTTGTTTTTATTGCATATTTTTAACGCATATTTAGCGATAGTTAAGGTCATATTATAGCGCATATTTAAGCAATTTTAAGTGCTATAAAATCCCAACCCTGGTCATTAGTTACCAATATCACGGTTATAAAGTTGGATTGGAGCTCGACCAAAGAACATGTTCTATGACACGACCGCGCTATCAATTTAACAATTTGGTGACAATTTGTGATAATGTGGTTTTTTAAAACAGTACAAAATTTGTAATTATTACGAATAGAGGGAGTGTGGGGGGAAGAGCCCCCACTTTTGTATTCTAGTAAATTTTCAGAACCCCCCCCCCCCCATTGAAAATTCCTGAGAACGCCACTGGTAGTGAATATACGATGTATGGAACATACCGAATAATACGGCAAAAAAAATGTTATAACAAAAGAAAAATATGACGATGCGTCAAAGCAGAGAACAAAAAGTGTGTACGTACGCGCACATGGTGTTCGAAGAACAGACGGGAACGGACCGGTTCGATAGTGTTGCCGTGCGGACGTCGTCGCGACCGTTCGCGTCCCCTGTTCGTAGATGATTGGAGGGACGGTGTGTCGCGATCTGGTGGTTGATGAGAAAGATAAAAGCACGGCCTGCGACAGACGTTTCGATAACGGCTGCCGCACGGGTCCGCGTCACACTAGACCTCTTAGTGACCAATATTACTGTCATACTTCAGATCAAGGCCGTAACTGGTGGGTCCAGGGGTCCGGACCCACCCGAAATTTTCAAAAGTAGAAACATTTTAGCGGTGAATATAGTTTATTAACTATAAATTGTATTAAATAATAATGTTAGACCCCCCCCCCCCGAAATTTTTTTCCAGTTACGGCCTTGAGGGGAGCATAAAATATTAGCGTTAGAGCATAACCACAAATACCTTTAGGAAGGAGTTGAATGGAAATTATTCTTCTAACTAATTTACCGTTTATTTTCTCTTCTATAATAATGGTGATAAACTCATATTAGCTTAGCAGATGTTCATTTAATATTATTTTCATTTTCTTCATTTATGTGTTCATCATTGTTCTTCTCTCATTAAATTCATCTTATGTTCTATCCAGTTTGCTCCTGACATTTTCCTCCATATCCACAACTTTATCGTTTCTGATATATATTTATATCAGATATAAATATAAATATATATATATACTAGCCGACCCGTCACAGCTTCGCCCGTGATTGGTTGTTTATTTTGTCTTCGGACCATGATATGTAGAATTTTTTATTCAAATATTATTGTTTAATGTGATCGGCAAGTAAATATAAAAAAACGGTTAATGAAAACGGATTTAAATTTTTCTAGCGTTATAAATGATAAAAATAAATACAGATAAAAAGAAATAATTTATGGTTGATAAAGAATTTGATTGAAGTTGATGAAGAAAAAAAAAGAAAAAAAAATAATTAAAATAAGAATTTTATAAGACTTCTGAGTATATGATGTTTTTTTGTTGTATTTCCTGTTGAAATTAAAATCATAAGATGATTCTTCCCCAGTTCGAGAAAATGCCACGTATAATTGCCCATGTGAAAAGCACTCTGTACGAAGATCCACGCCAACGTACTTGAATGTTTGACCTTGCACTTTGTTTATGGTAATGGCAAAAGAAACTTTAACCGAGAATTGAAGCTGTTTGAAAGAAAACGGCAAGTCAGAGGGAATCATGGGAATTCTTGGAATAAATGCAATTTCTCCTTTCGCTAACCTGTAAGAATTACGGCTTCTATAATATTATTTCGCAATGATTTTATTTGTAATCTTGTACCGTTACATAAGTTCAGTGGTTGAAGATTACGTAATAATGTAATTGGAGCACCAATTTTTAATTTTAGCTTATGAGGAGGAAATCCCGAAGGAGAAAGAGAATTGAGAAATTCTTGTGGATAACGAATAGCATCATCTGTTGATGTAACTGTATCAATAGATAGATATTCACGTGAGTGTCCATCGAATTTTAGAAGGATGATATCATTAATTTCTCCTGCTGTTATATTTCTCGGAGAGATAACAGCTCTTTCACATAACCACTGATAAAATTTATTGGACAGATTAAAAATGTCAGGATAAGCTGTAGAAATCAACTCTTCCACGTTATTGACCACCCGTCCAATCATGTGATTGACAGAAATGTAACCATTTTCATTTTCTAAAGTTCCATTTCCAATTTTCAACATCTGTGCTGAAAAAATATCGTCCCCTTCGCATAAATAAACTCTCATGTTTGTTCGCAAATAAAGTTTTTCAACATAGTTACATATATGAGAAGATAGATAGATATAGATATATATATCAGATTCTGTGATCTGTAAATACATGGAATACTGTTTAAAGTTCCATGTTATATGTATTTTATTGTAAACATTCATAAACATATACTCGTATATATTTTACATTTGTATAATAAATATTATTTTACATTCTTACTATATACAACATTTCAATATTGTAATTGTGGCTGTTAGTTCGACGTTCGTTATTAATATTTATGCATTTTTTATTTATTTTTATTTCATCATTTTTTTCAGATGAATAATTACAATAACAAAATGAGAGAAATAAATTTACAATACAGTTTTACAATCATAAAAGGACTTAGAAATTTATCACACAAAAAATGATATAACTTAAAATAAAAAATGATTACAAATTTAATGTATACATTAATTTCATAAAACACGCATTTTATTATAAGATATAATAACATAGAAATAAAATTATAAGCTATGAATTATTTAACATGTTTTTTCCCTTTACATCCTATACAATTATGAAAAGAAACTAATTAACTATTTAAATTTTAAATATTGCAAGCCTTCATACCATTGTCTTAGGTGCGTTACCCCAGCACCCGCACTTTCGAAAACATGAATTGTAATCAAGCAGTATTCTGTACTTTATTTTGTACAATTTTGTACAACCCCCAAACCTCCCCGAAATTCAATTTCATCTTACGGGTGTTATCGTGTATCTTTTATCAATATTGTATCTAAGATACTTTTATCGAATATACAGCACTTCCTTTTAGGTAGAAATAGTTGCTGTTGATTAACTTATATAATTCAAAAAGAATCAACAGAATATATTAGGTAAGTTCGCAGATATCAAGATTTAAAATTATGTCAATTATATTAAGTAGGTGCATTATTTTAATAATAGTTAAATTAATTATTTATATATTTATATATTAATATCATATTACATTTTTACATTTTTTAATGAATGATTTATTTTCTGATAAGAATAACAAAAAAAAAAATCGAAGAATATCTACATTAAATGCAGATACATCGGTACATGTATATGTCTTGTTTCTACTAAATACAGTTGACATAAGAATTTCAACGCCGATTAGGTATTAGATACTAGGATTATGCTGTAGGTAACTTTTTTAACACGTGTAAAAAATAAATAAGGTTCAAAAAATCACATGTTAAATATTTTTTTGAATAAACATTTTATTTTAATTTAAATTACAGAATCGTCATTTATAACACTTATAGTGATTAATAATAAAAAACGGTATAGTGAAATACAAAGCGTACTCACGCATTTCAAGCTGCTCGATGTGTCCATAAAATACTTAAAAAGTATGTATATTAATATAAAATAATATAAATATGTTTACGAAGAGTAATAAGCTAACTAAAATTATAAATACCGATAATTCCCACCTACTGACATGGACGATCAAACTATTAACCAATATCAGTTATATTTATATAATTTATAATGAATTATTTTTATCGTCAATATAATTATTATACAACTAGCTGTACCTAATGTTACTTTTTTACTCATTTTTCTCAATACTACTCCATTGTTGCTTACTGCCTTTTGGCTTAGGAGGTCAGTATACATGTCAATAAACATCATTTTATATTTGTTATGCCGTAGGTATACCGTAAAAGTTTTTATTATTTTAATATTGTCTGACTAATTTCTTGTCATCATCACAGTAGGAGTTGTAATTTAATATTGTTATCTTAATGTTAAGAATAAAAATATAATTTTGCATTTCTAAAAATAGTCTAATACAATCTGATTTTAGGTAATACAATAATAATTACTATTTGTAACCAATGAACAATGATACTAAGTAGTTGGTACGTCATACGTGGTGTAGTGGGCCGTTCTGCAAGAGGACGACGCAATACACCGTTGACGA